GGAAGTGAGACAGTAGGATTTTAAATGACAAGTTTTTGTTTTAAAATTGTCTTTGCTGAACAGAAATCTACAACAATGTACGTGATTATTAATGTATTTTAGTTCACACATGGTTAATTTTGTAAATGACGTTTAGATTTGTATTTCTAGAGGAGAGACTATTTCTTCTCATTAGGGGGTGATGTGATAGACAGGGAGATAGTATTGCTCTATGTATAGTTGCCCTGTGCCTGTTGTTGAGTTGTTGATCCTTTTAGTTTAGGAGGCCCAGTGGGACTTCTGGCCGGATGGAGGCATCAGTGTTGTCCCTGCAGGAAGTGCTCCCTAATTGCTCTCCTTAGAGGAAGTCCTCCCTGAGTGCTGCCCACACAGGATGTGCTCTCTGAGTGCTGTCCATACAGGAAGTTCGCCCTGAGTGCTGACGAGCGCTCTTCCTGGTGGTACCAAACCACTTGTGCAGGAAAGGCTGAGGGTCTCCTAATACAACCACCCCGTTTATTCATGAGTGACTTTGTTTTCTATCCATTTTGGCATGCAAATTAAGCCCAAATAAATACTATCAAGAAAGTGGAATTAGCTTGTTTCCTTTGCCCTGGGAGACACAAGAATGTAGTTTACTTGACCTGCTAATGGGAAAAATTAGGCTAGAGAAAGCTGAGCAAAGAGGCTCTTTTGGGAGGGGTGGGTACTTAGCTGTGGTTATCCAGCCACCAGTTCCCCTAATTAGATTGAATGTGTGTAAATAGTTTCCAGCTTCGTCTGAAGAGGATCTTTTCAAGTTCCAAGGCAGCTTAGGGTTTAAGAGGCAAAATGTAAAAGGACTATCAGTGATGAAAATGAGTGATGAACTGGGTAAAATATTTCCCTTTTGGTCCCTTTGTAAGCTTTTTAAAATTTTGTTGAAGTTTGTCATTTGTCCTGCCAAGACACATACTCTTAACTACCAGTGTAATTGCTTTAAATTTCTCAGAGTTCCAAAGCTGTAAAGACTTATCAGTATTTGCATTTTAATCTATGAGTGAGGATTTAATTTTTCATAAAGTCATGTCATCTTAAAATGTTGACTAATGGTCAGCAGTAATATGCTGAAGCTTTCAAAAGTTGTTTGTAGAATTTATTTAATGAAAAGATTATAAAGTAGAATTTTTAAAACCAATTGTTTTAACAGCTAATCTTTTAACACTATCAAGTTGTGAACTTACAGGCACCTTTTACTTTTCAAAAAACATGTCTGCCAATGGTATTACCACATTTCAGAGAAGCTTGAATTTTGTAATTAGCAAAAGTTATGGACACAGAACATGAAAGAATACAAATAGGACATTCAGGATGTAGAAAGTGTTTTGGGGTGCCACTTAGAGTACTGTTTGAAGGCTCTGGCTTTGTTTTCTAGCAGACCTGGGTTCGAATTCTAGACCTTCCACCTTCTAAATGTGTGTGGCCTTGGCACATTGCCTAACCTTTCTTGAGACTCAGTTTCCTAATCTATAAAATCAGAGAACAATAATCTATCTGCCTGTCTGATTGAATTAAATACGGTAATGTATATAAAGTACTCAGCAGAGTTTCTGGCGTAGTCAACATGCAATATATCCTACTATTAAAATTGTTATTAACTCATTCTGAATAGTCAGGAATAAACAGTTTTTTTGTATTTGAATTTTCTTTTTTGAACATGTATCTAGTGTTTAATCAAGCTATTTTTAGTTTCAGTGACTTCTAAAAACTCAATCTTTGGTTTAAAAATTTCTGCACCAGAAAATTAAAAATTGACAACCTAGAATAATTCAATGCTTCTCTCAGTTTTCTTTCTCTGCCTTCAATAAGCCCCAAGAAAGAATTGATTTGGGAATAAAAATTGAATTTGAACTTTGTTCTATATAGGATTCACCAGAGGCTGGTAGTCCTCATCGGGTACATTTAGGAACCCCCTTCTTCTGCCTGGGATCAGATGTTGGGAGATTTTATTCCCTCACAGGGCAAACTTACAGCGTCAGCGGAAGGCACAGGTTGTATCTGCTTCCCACAGTGGGAAAATACTACCGTAGTAAATATGGATGCCTGTCAAACATATATTAAACCAGCTATGTAAATTCAGTCATGTAAATCATAGTTCCGTTTTTGCCAAAAATGAATACATAAATAAAAACCTATGACTTTCATGTCTAAATAATCTCCAAATAAGTCATACCTCCAAATGTTTCTTTAATTATACAAGTGCATGCCTGCCACTCTCTTTCCACTCCTGGCAAAATCAAAGGTTCGAGTGAATCCAGCCTTGGAATGCAGTCTTTAAAATGCCTCATGGTTCATTTGCTTCTGTGTTGATGTAATCCCACTAAGAGGTAGAGGGCGGGCCTGATCCATTGCTTGTTGCTGACTTCTCCAAGTCTCATCCCAGATGACCATGTTTCATTGCCCAACAGCTGCAGTAAACATACTGGGTCCTACTGTGAAAACAGTGTGGCTGTTGTCAGGGATGGTTTCTGAGACACTAATCAAAGGAGGTTGAAGAGAAAATTTAGTCCTGTCTAGCTCTGAGAACTACAAGTTCTGTGTCAATCAAAGGCGTGGGACAGAGAGGCTTGTGTGTGGACTACTTTCCAATCCCTCTGTTCTCACTGATGTGAAAAATAGAGGAGGGCTGGATGGCAGGTAGCAACTGAGTTTCAGAGAAGGAGCACAGGCTTTGTGGGGCATGGCCGGTGCTCTGAGGTGCCACCTGTGGCAGAGCACGTGACAGAGTTTGGTCTTAGTTTTATATCTAGAAAGCAAAGTTATTAGCTCCTAGAGAAAAACTGGTGGCTTGGGGAAAGGATATGAGTTCAGCTGCTCATTAAGGGCGTGAATCAAATAGATTTGTGAGGATGTGATCTCAGGATGCCTTTATTTAGGGGTTAAGCTGTACTTACATTCCCAGTTCAAGTTCAGCTTTCAGTGAATAGCATTTCTGTGTTGACTATTATTGACCCTAGCTACTCTCCTTCTGAAAGAGAATCTCCTTAAATAAAGTGGTGTTTGGACTTGGATGATACCTTAGCAAGGAACGTGGGCAGTGGGAGGAAGAATCTGAAAGATACAGGGCCAGAAGAAATGGTAACATATTTAAATAATTGGGGCTGGGTGTGATGGCTCATGCCTGTAATCCCAGCAATTTGGGAAACTGAGGCAGGCAGATCACCTGAGGTCTGGAGTTTGAGACCAGCCAGGTCAACATGGTAAAACCCCGTCTCTACTAAAAATACAAACATTAGCCAGGCATGGTAGTGCGTGCCTGTAATTCCAGCTACTAAGGAGGCTGAAGCAGGAGAATTGCTGGAACTCAGGAAGCAGAGGGTTGCAGTGAGCTGAGATCATGCCACTGCACTCTAGCCTGGGGGACAGAGCGAGACTCCATCTCAAAAAAAAAAAATAAATTAATTAATGAGATCACCACATATTGGGATATTATGGAATTAGGATGACCATGACAGAAGCTGGGTACAAAATTAGGAATCTATAGTGGCCAACAGAGGTTGCTGATGAGGTAAATGAGGATGTGATTATTGCAAGGGGTCTGCTTTTCAGCTTTCCACTGTGAGATTTGATTTGTCTTATATAGACATGCCTGACTTTCTTGTTTGTGCTGGTAAAAATCAGTCCATGAGATTTGAACCTTTTGTTGATTGTCTAGTGACTATTTAATTTTGAATGTTCAAACCATTCATATGAGCGATGTACTTAAGTTAGTATAGTATATTTATTTATTTTGAGTTGGAATTTCACTCTTATTGCTCAGGCTGTAGTGCAATGGCACGATCTCGACTCACTGCAGCCTCCGCCTCCTGGGTTCCAGCGATTCTCCTGCCTCAGCCTCCCAAGTCGCTGGGATTACAGGCATGCTCCACCACACCCAGCTAATTTTGTATTTTTACTAGAGATGGGGTTTCCCAGTGTTGGTCAGACTGTTCTTAAACTTCCAACCTCAGGTAATCTTCCTGCCTAAGCCTCCCAAAGTGCTGGGATTATAGGCGTGAGCCACCGCGCCTGGCTGTACAGTATGTTTATTATTTAGAAAATGTGAGGTGAAAAAAAGTCCCTATCCTGTTGTGAAATTGCTGCATGTTTGCTGTGAGGGCACTTGGGGTTGCGTGCCCTTTCATCTCAAGCTGGGCTACTTAACTTCCTCAAAGTCATGTGTGTGGGACTGGGTCAGAGAACTGTGGTTTCTTTCTATTGGTGCACGGAGAATTATCTGGTGTGAGTACAATTTCAGACATTCTTCCTAGGTGGCTGCCGACTGTAAAACCACACTGAGCCCTTCAGTTATAGGCTTTACAAGAGTTGTGATGGGTGCTGCAAGCTGGGAAGGTTTCCAGCTTCGACAGCATTCTCACAGGGGTTAAATTTCACAAGGTTAGCCAGAGCGAAAGGCAGCCTGCCTGGGAATCTTACCCAGATGTCTCAGTGAAATCCTGTGCCTATCTTAGAACTAGGTGAGATCGTCCTTTTTGGAGGATCTGGATTAAACTGTAACTTTCTTATACTTCAGGAGTAATTTTTTTTGAAGAGTCATCCTAATAAAATTATAAGCAACTTTCAATCAAACATTCTTCAGAATTTGAAAACCTTTTCAAAAGTCTAGTGATTTCTAAATTACTGTATGTTAAGATGGTATCATCTAACTTCATGCACGTTAATTGTGAGTCTCAGTAGATGTATTCCTGAAAATATGTGAATAAATTAATCTAACATAAATTTAGTCACATTTAAGGTGCACACAGAGAACTTTTGCTGAGTAAAACCCTTTTATGAATTTCATGTTGAAGAAGAGGGCTTTTTTAAAATAGCATGAACAGTCCTTTTTAAAAATGTAAATTAAAATTTATACCTCAAAGTAGCTTAAGGTAATCTGTATTGAAATCTTGGTAACTTCATTTTATGTGGGAGATCATACAGCCTCTAAATGGTGTCAGTCTCCTAATGCTAGCATACTAAGGCTCCTCATCCTTGTTTTTCAGCAGTCTCTGGTCCCAGCCCACCCCATGGCCCCTCCCAGTCCCAGCACCACCAGCAGTAATAACAACAGTAGCAGCAGTAGCAACTCAGGATGGGATCAGCTCAGCAAAACGAACCTCTATATCCGAGGACTGCCTCCCCACACCACCGACCAGGACCTGGTGAAGCTCTGTCAACCGTAAGTGGCAGTTGTTCTTGTTATTTTAGCTGCTCAGTATTTTCTTGATCATATTATAGAGTGATATATACCACATTATAAGAGAAGTTTATAGGCGATATCTGTGGACTCTCAGTATCGCAACAATAAAATGGGTTTCAAGTATTAACTTCTTGAATACTTATTCAGTCAGTATTAACATCATCAAACTGGCTACATATCAAAAAGAATTGGAGCATTTTCTTAATAGAATTTGACTTTATGGGCATATGAAAAGTACAATGTGAATTTTTGGAAAAAATGTATGGCTAGATATTTTTTTAGAAGTTGTCATTTTTTGTGGATGCACCTCTGAGGGCCGGTCTATCCTATGAAAGGAACTTTAGCTATCATTGTTTGTAAGAAAGGTTGTTAACCATCTTACCTCATCCTGAGTATAAGCTCTTCCAGCTGGGACCATATTAGTCTGTTCCCATTAGCATCCATAGTTTTGTGGTCTGGGTTGTTCAACCTCATCTCTTTAGGAATAAGAACTCAATTTTACTCATTCGGTGTGTTATGAAGAAATGTGTACATGTGCATAAAGTTCCAAAGTAAATTTGCATTATATGCTAATGTTGTCAATGAATAGAATATAAATGTGCTACTTTGCTGCAATTACATTAACTAAGAAAGCACTAATTTAAAACAAGCATCCAGAAGCACTGTATAGTGCAAAGATCATTGTGTAAGGACTGAAAGCATCAAATTGCATCAAGCTAGAAAACCCTACACATACAACAGCACTTTTTATTTATTCTAAGACAATATTGGTCCCTTATAAAGATAATTTTGCATAACTGCAGTAGAAAACTTTTGCTAGAGAATGTTTCCTATTCCCTGAATTTCGAAACATCTGACTGATAACATCTCATTTCTCTTGTTGGGTGTAAAATCCAGATTCATTACTTCTTATTTGTTTTTTAAGAAAAAAAAATTCAAAGCTAACTTGGTCCAAACTGGAACTAAAAGTAACGTCTGGCCTTCCATGGGTGGGGGTGGAGGTGATGGTTGTTTTGCTGTCTTTTGTTTTGAAAGAGGAGGGTTGGGACAGTAAGTGGTGGCTCTTTAAGATCTGGAGAGCTGTCTAGAAGGCCATCCCCTCTCTGCACTCTCCCTGTGCCTTTTCCGTGTCCCCGTTTTTGACCAGCCGTTGTGGACTTTGACTCCGGTCCCTGGTTTTTGGGGCAGTGAAATAATGTACTGCACTAGGGACTGCTGTGAAGCAAGCCCAGCTCTTGGGGTTTGTCATTGCTGGCTGGAGGCAGAGGGAACACTGCCAGGCAAGCCCTGCCCTGTTGCAGCTGTTCAAGACCACAAATAGGCCTTTTGCTATCTCTTCTGCTGCTGGCCTTTCAGTGGCGTCGTATTATGTTTTTGCAGTGTAATTACAGGTAGATAGAGTGCCATGAAGTCTAAGGAATTAAAAATATGTCTGTAAGAAACAGAAGAATGTAGCTAACGCTCAAATTCATGAGGTGTAAGAGAAGGGGAGAGGAATTCAAAAGACAAATTGTTCTCCAGCTAGCGGTGAATTATGTAGGGCGAGTTTTGATGTCAAGGAGACAATTAACCGTAGGATACCTGAGTAACACCATGTTTTATATACAGTAAATAAGTACTTGAAAAATTGAGCCAGTAATTTTTTTTATTGAACCAAATCATATTCCAAATATGGAAGAACATGTTGTCATTTTTTTTCTAGAATATTTGTTTCCTTTTTGCTGTTCTCTTTGACATATATGGATTTTCTTAACCTGTATAAACATTATTCTCCTTGCTGTTATCAATAGCAGCAATAACATTGCAACCCTCACTCTCTCCCATCACTTGCAAAGGAAGGCTCTTATAAAATTCCAGGTTATGTACTAAAGTCTGATAATAGTCTTCTTGATATGTACCATACAGAGGCAAAACATAATAATAGAGGACTCTATCTCAGAATTTGCAGGAAACTTCATTCCATTTAACACAGAGAATGTAGTAAATACTAAATTTGACTTGCTGAGAGTTTCATGTCTTAGAATGTAGAAAAGCACAAAAGAGCATCCCTGTTCTGGACTTAATTGTTTCCCATAAAAGAAGAGCTTGCTTGTGACATAGAAGTGACAAGAACCTTTTGGGAAAGTAACTCATCCTAGAGCTTACAAACCCAGTGGGCATAATTAGAGATTTTAGAAAAGTAGGTATCAGAAATGTCTCAGAAAAAAAATAGATATAAATCCATACCTCTAAAAAAAGAAAAGAAACACTTAGAACTAAAACTTAGCACTGTAATTACAAATTGACCTGATGAGGCTGAATTGGGAGGAAAACAAATGATTTGGCTCTCCAGGAGGCTTAGATATTTTAGAAGATTATTTAACAGAACGATGGGGACAAGCCAGGAATGTTTCTGATGGTGGTCCAATTCCATACAAACAGTGCATGAAGTCCAAAGGCGAGTATTACGTGAAGATTTTTAAAACTGGAGAGGAAAACAAAAAATATTTTTTAAAAACTGTGTTTGAAGTAGAACATAAGTATGCTGTAATGTTAGAGGAGGTTACAGTGGAAAAGCAAATGTGATGTTGAGATGACAGGGAAAGGCAGCCCCACCCATACTCAAAAGAGAGAGTCATGACCGACCTTGGAAAGTGTAGATCACCATGACTAAGAGGAGGAGGCATGTGGGGTAGGGGCTCAGACCAGAAGCCAACCAACCTACATTCCTGACACAGGGTGGTGATGGTGGTAAGTCAGGTAATCTGAATTGAAAAGAGATAAATTTTCTAGAAGCATTTAATGAAAGACATCAGCCAGCTCTAGTTAACTTCTAAATTGTAAAACACATATGAAAAATCTTGGAACCTTGACTGCTGTAGGCTGGTGTAGCTTCTCTCCCTATATTTAAGAGGTTATCTATTCACAAAGAATATATCAGTATAGTTAACCAGCAAGTACTGGAAATGGAACAATCCAGGTGACCCAAAGGATTCATCTGCTAACCCTTGGCTTAATTCTCTTCCTTCTCTGAAATCAAGCTAGACAAACACTGTGCTTGATTCGCGTATCTGTATGGTATTTGTCATATAAATATTTGCCAATGCAATATTTCTCTCATTCAGATTTCTCAGGCAGACTTTTAAGTTGGATGAATTGAGGGCTCCTGTTGCATCCATTTTCTTGACATCTTAGCCATTTTTATTTTGCCTTCAGACTTTCAACTGAAACTGCACTAGCAGCTTAAATATCCCCTTATTTTCCCCACCTTTTTTTCACTCTCATCTCTCTCCTCCTCGACTCTCTGCCCTTCTGGTTTCTGTTTCCTTGGCTGGCTCCTCCGTAGCCCCATCCTCTGATAGGGTTATTCTCCTCTGTTTCTACTTTACTGTACATTTTCTACTTGAATATTTTATTTTTTCCTCAAGTTCAGAATATCCTCTCTCTCAACACTGTCACTTTTCCAAATTTACTTTCCTAAACATGAAGCTTTAGGAGTCAGCAGCTCCTTCCCTTTGTCCCTTAGTCACTAAATTTTGTAGATTCTTCTTTGTCATTCTTCTTCTTCCTTCTTCTCCCTGCCAGAAGAACAGGGTGACTCTCCCTCTCTGCAGTGTGACAGGAGAACCATTTGCTCTTCTGCTACCTTGCCTTTGGGGCTTCCCCTCCCCGCCTCAGTTCAGCAAGGCCAAGTCCAAACTCTGTCTGCCACCTTTATGCTTGGACCACACCAGTAACTCTCCTCTTTATTTTTTAATTTTTACCTATTGCCAGCTCATAATCAGCATCTTACTATAGGGTTCTGAGCTCCAAGTGCCTGTTACATTACTTGGCCATATGTCTGTGACAGTGTACGATGCTAGCAACGTATCTTATACAGATTTGTCACCCGGACTACAAAAGAGTTGTAGTCAGGATTGCTAGGTTTGGTATCCCAGAGTTACCTCAAAGTGCTAGGCAAGTACTGCATTCTCAGTCAGACTGTAAAATAGGTCAAATAATGCTATTATCAAAAATTGTGATAAGCATTAAATCAAATAATGTAAGTAAAAGAGCTGGCCCCAGAACCTAGAACACAGTTGTCACTGAACAAGTATTAGCATCCCTCGTTTCTTCCATCCTTGAAATTCTAACTACTAGAATAAGCTTAACTTATATTCAATTCTACATTTAAAACAAAGGAGGAAAAAGCCCCATCCAATTCTGATTTTGAAAGCTGGGAAAGCCGGGAAGGTAGCTTATGCTAACATAATCTCCAACCTCCTCTTTCTTGAGGGTTTTTTTTTGGGGTGGGGTGGGGAGGAAGGGCTAAAGGCATATCTTGTTTTACTGTGCTTTGCAGATATTGCTTTTAAAAAAATGCAAATTGAAGGTTTTTAGCAACCCTGCATTGGGCAAGTCTATTGGCATCATTTTTCCAATAGTGTATGCTCACATTATGTCTCTGCATCACATTTTGGTAATTTTTACAATATTTCAAACTTTTCCATCACTATTATGTCTTTGATGGTGATCTGTCATTAGTGATCTTTGATGTTAATTGTTTTGAGGCACAACAAACCATTCCTACATATGGCTTAATCATTAAATGTTGTGTGTGTGCTGACTATTCCACTGACCAGTCATTCCCCTTTTCTGTTTCGCTCCTCCCTATTCTCTGAGATACAAAAATATTGAAATTAGGCCAAATAATAGCTCTACAGTGGCCTCTAAGTGTTCAAGTGAAAGAAAGAATCTCCCATCTCTCACTTTAAATTAAAAGCTTTTAAAATCAAAATTAAGCTTAGCGAGAAGAGCATGCCACAAGCCAAATGAAAGCTAGGCCTGTTGCACCAAACAGTTAGCCAGGTTGTGAATACGAAAGAAAAGGTGAAGGAAATTCAAAGTGCCACTCCAATGAAAAAATGAATAAGAAAGCAAAACATCCTTATTGCTGATGTGGAGAAAATTTGAGTGGTCCGAATAGAAGATCAAACCAGCTAACAACATTCCCTTAAGCC